TCCTATCTGGTCACCTTGGTCTGTGTTTATTTGCAAGGGTCAGCATATAACTCTGCACATTGGACTCCACATCATGTAATATCCTGACAGGGTTGTTATAGGAGGCATGAAGTGATCTGGGTGGTTAAAGCAGTCTGGAGGTGATCTGGGTGGTTATAGGAGGCTAAGATTGGTCTAGCAGTTATAGGAGGCGTGGAGTGATCTGGGTGGTTATAGCAGTCTGGAGGTGTTCTGGATGGTTATAGGAGGCTAGGATTGGTCTAGCAGTTATAGGAGGGATGGAGTGATCTGGGCGGTTATAGCTCTTATTATTTCTTCCATTTGCTGTCCATATGATTTAACACTGAAGCTGTTTACTTAGTAAATCTGATATGGTGCTTTGAATAGGATACTCAGCGATCACTTAGTTACACTGTGTGTGCTTCCTGTAATGAATCACACGGCAAACTGCAATCAAATAACATTAATAGAAGCTGGACAGGGCAATTGAAGCCACTGATTTCACCAGGGCAAATGCACACTGTTGGCCATTATGTATAAAGATTCTCAAAATAGAAGCGTTTCTTTTGTATGTTGTTTTTTTTGTTTTTTTTTTTTGTAAAATATTGTTTTAAAATAAAAAGTCACAATCTCTAACATTAGACTGGATCCCTTTTGATATTTCTCCTTTCCGTCTTTGTATTTGCTATAAAGATGACCTTTATACACAGTAATGAAATAGCCCATTTGCAACGTTTATCCTTGTAGTGACTTTTGACACAGTGTATCAGCTGTGACTAGATTCAGCAGATTGTAGCTAACACATTGACCTGTGCTCTATAATGTCAGACTTTACTTTATAATAGCACTATACAAATATTTACAGGGCCAGTCAGTGGCGTACATGGCGCCCCGGTGTGAAAATTGATCCGTGCCCTCCTCCCCCGGTGCTTACACTGCGCAGGCCGGGGCCGCAACACATGGTGGTGGGCACCTGGTCACAGGGCTGTAACCCTTGCGACCGCGGTATGTACGCCAGTGCATGCAGATACACATACACTTAAAGGACCACTATAGGCACTCAGGTCCCTCTAGTTTTAACCCTGCAGTTTCAGAGAAACTGCTATGTTTCACTGAGGGTTAATCCAGCCTCTAGTAACTGTCGCACTGACAGCCGCTAGAGGCGCTTCCGTGATTCTCACTGTGATTCTCAGGAGCAACAGCTGCAGGAAGGTGAGGAATGGTCGGGGTGCCCAAGCACGGACAGGTAACATGTCGGCATACAGGCCTCATAGGGTACGTGTGTGTAGCACCCATACGGAGAACCTGAGGTCTAGATGGGCGAATAGGACAAAAGGAAATGTGATGTCCCCTCTCCCCACAGTAAAAACACAGTCTGTGATTCCTCCTTCTTGCCCTTTCTTGGGGTGACTGCCTGACTGAAACCAACCCAATCTCCATAGGTTCCTCTGTCTCTAAGGCAGACGAGTAAGATGTCTCAAAAGCTTCAGGTAACAAGGAAACAGTAGGTTTTGCTGAAGTATTACTCCAAGTGGAAGGAGCAATGTAATCCCTTTCCCGTTCGGAGAGCACTTTGTTTTGAAAAACAGATGGTGTTCTGGGAACACAGGTCTTTTGCGCCTTGTTGCACTGTAATTCCAGGGATTGTAGTAAGGATTCCCAAGAATCCAGGACTGGGCTTTTGGTGAGCAACACCTGATGGGCCCAAATCTTAGGGTACCCCGACAAGGTGATAGCTGTCCCCACTTTGATGAAGTCCGTGGCAGGGAGAACAGGACCTCACAATCCACTTTGAAGGTAGCATACTTTGACCGGATCCCAGAAAATTTTTCGGGTAGAGAAACCAGAGGGTTAAGTGTATTCAGGAATACAGGGTACTTTCCCTTTAAGGGAAGCCAGTTCCCACTGTAAGCCCTGTAAAGCTTGGGTAAGCTGAGAGACCTGCTGGATCAAGGCTGCTAGGGCTTTCTTCAACTCTGCAGACTCCATGGTCAGATCATAATCTAATGATGGTGAGCCGTAGGGAGTGCCTGAGAGAATACCTGGAATTGAGAGCGAGAAAGAGCGTCAGTTGCAGTGTTGTGGATACCCGGAATGTGAAAACAAACTAAGTGAAACTGACCGGTTGCTGCTAGCCAGGTCAGCTTACGAATCAGCCGCATGATGGTCCGGGATGATGAGCGCCCCTTGTTAATGATTTCGCAAGCTGCCGAGTTGTCAGAGTAGCATTTTACTGCCTTGCCGGACCAGAGATGACCCCAGGTGTGCGCGGCCGCCACAATGGGATAGATTTCAAATAGGGCTGAGGTCTCCCTGAATCCTGGCAAGGCATCCGTCTCAGCGTGCCAGTGACCCCTAAACCTGTGGTTCCACTCTGCCAAAAACTTCCCCCACATAGCTAAGTCAGCCTTGGCGTGGGGGTCCAATGAAACTGGGCAAGAGTCCGGTACCCCGTGGAGTAGGCAAAGAAACCTGGATATAAAAGACCTTCCCTGCGGGATGATGCGCATGGCGAAGTTCAGGGATCCCAGAAGGGACTGGAGTTCCTTCCTGGTGCAAACATCATTTCGCAGGAACATGTCCATCTCCCCTCTCAAGCAGGTCAGTTTGTCATGGGGAAGGCTAGCTCTGAGGGTAACGGAATCTAACTCTATCCCCAAAAAGGTTAATTTAGTTGTGGGACCAATTGTTTTAGATGGGGATAAGATACTCCATGTGTGGAAAAAAGTGCTGTAATGCGGCTGATAGCGGTGGGTGTTTGTGCCCCTGGCTCTATCAGTAGGAAGTCGTCTAGGTAGTGAATAACGGAGTGACACCTGAGGACGTTCAGAAGCAGCCAGCATAGTGTATCAGCGAAGATATCGAAAAGTTTGGGGCTGCTCCGAGAACCGAAAGTGAGTCGTGTGGAGAAGTAGTACTTTCCTCGCCATTTAACACCGTGCAAGTGCCAGAGTGAGGGGTGCATGGGTAGTAACTTAAACGCATTTGTGTTGTCTGGTTTGCTGAGCCAGGGGCGATTACCAGAAGAGATGATGGCCTGTATAGCGTTGTCAATAGTTACGTACTGGAGTGAGAATTCGTCTGCTGGAATGAGTGCGTTTATGCTGGGAACAAAAGAGGAGTGTGGTGCCGATAAATCGATAATTAGATGTTTTTTATTTGAATATTTGTGAACTGCAACGCCGATTGGGTTAGTGTGCCAGGAGGCGAAAGGCCCGATCATGAAACCATTGGTAATTTCAGAGGAAAGGAGAGTGTCTGTGGAGACTGGGTCTAGACGTGCTGACAGGAGATTAGGACATTCAAGTGTACCTGGGGGGATGGCTACTATACCCGTGAGAAACCCCTGTGTGAACGCTGTGGTCAGATATTCCACCAGGTGCCTGCTAGGGTGTGACCTTAAGTACAAAAAACAGGTTGTCGACATTAATGTCGGTTAGTCATTTGTTAGGGGACAACCTGGCCGGACACATGGTCTTAGTATGTGCCCTGAAGCAAATGGAGCAGATGTGCAATAATCTACATGCGCTGAAACTGCAGGAGCCTGCGTTGAAATTATTGCACACCTGCGCCTTGCCTAAAAAGGAGATGGGCCTACCCAGCTTGCCACGTAGACCAACCGTTGGTTTGTTGTGAGGGGTGAAAGAGGTTATAGGGGTGGGAGTGGAGGTGGTGGGATCTGCTTCAGAGGGATATAAGTCCGCCATGTGGGATGTGGAATTACATATGGAACAAGATGGGGGCCTGAGACCAGCGAAGTGGCGACAGAATAGTTCTGTATCCATCTGACACCAGTTAATTCTAACGTTGAACTGTTTTAGATGGGTTGCCGCCTTCGCTGATACTGACTTATGATAGTCGTAGAAAGAAGAGCCCCCGTATTTGATGCCTAGATCCACCACCTTGTGAATGTAGAGGTCTAACTCCTCTCTTCTGTGGGGATACACCGTGCAGATGACGTCACGGTATATCCCGAAAGCTATCACGAACTGGGGAATTGAAAGTTTTTTATTAAGCCTGGGATCTCTTGTCTTAAGCACTACTGATATATCCCCGTAATTGTAAGCCTTGTTCTCCAGTATGTCCTGTGAAGCTATAAGCAGAGACACCAGACACACGTCCTTCCCGTCTAGGATTTCTTTCCTGATAGAGTCTGGGACGGAGAGCGGGTGACTCAAAAGGAGCTATAGCTGTGACTGGTGTTGGCGACGTGAGTATGGGGGGGCATGCTGGTACAGCGGGGACAGCCGGGGTGGAGACTGGGAGGCCCGGGGTATTACCTGGGGAGGCGATGGCACTCTCCACCTATTAAGGGTCTGTAGGTTGGCCAAGATTGCTTCCAGGGTATCCTGGGTGGCCGTGCCAGTGCTTGGTGGCTGTCCTTGAGAGCTAGTGCTTGACCTAGGCTCAGGGGCTTGGTAGGTAAGCAGCCTGTAAAGTTCTGCCTTTCTAGCTGTGGCTGGAAAGGGGATTCCCCTGAGCCTAAGCTCGGCCGTAATTTTAGGAATAGTCCATGCTCTCAAGGACGTGGGAGTTGAAGGGGTGAGAGATTCGCCTGGAGACTCTGGTCTGGTTGGCGTAAACTGTATCTCTTCTGGCAGTTCTTCAATGGGGATTGGTTCTTGGGACATTCTAAAAGAAATGATTTTGTGAATGAGATATTAGAAGGGGAGTAAGGAAACGTGGGGGGGATATGAGGGATGGTATTTATTGGAAGAACTGGACTGTAATGCTAGTGCCGAAGCGAAAAACTTATCTGTGGGATTTTTAGTAGGTGAGGCCCTGCTAATGCCAAGTGGCGGTGAGAGGCTCTACCTATGATTTGGCTTAGGAAATTGAGGTCACAGACGTGGTGGCAGGGTGTTGGCCTCTCGGTGACCGTAAAGAGAATTCAAAACGTGTGGCCGTGACAGGTGAGGCCCTGACTAAAGCCCTGTAGTAGGGCGGGCGAGGCGTATAACTATGATTTGGGCGTAGGGCCGTAACTCCGTGTTGAGGTGGCAGATGGCCTCGCGGGACCGGATTTCCTAATAGGGTGAGCTAAGGCGGTAGCCTAGACCCAGTAGCCAGTTCAATTGTATATTTAAGGTTTACTGGGAAATTCTGGTGTAATGTGTGGATACTAACCTTGAAAGGTTGTAAATGATAACTGGAACCTTCTAGTATTTTTTAATGTGCCGAGTCTTGTTTGCTGCTGTTCTTAAAGAAGAAGCCTCAGGATTAAGACAGATGTTGATGTATTTATGCGTATCGTGGTGACGTATGGTTTGTAGTGAGGGTTGGCTGTTAGGAGCGTTAGCAACGTGAATTGAGGGATCTGAAAGGTTTAGTATAGGATTGGGACGAGTTTGCGTTAAAGAGAAAGGCTGATTGAGGCCTTGGGGTAGTGATTGCCGTACGTGAGTGAGGACGTAAGTACCTGATGGTATGCCTGAGTACCGGATCAGGTAGGTTGGATGTTTTCCTTGGCCTGATGGCAGTATGACCGTAGGCCTGGGTAGAGAAATTGTAAAGAATTAACATACCGTGGGCGTAAGACCGTGAGTCAATCATAATGAGACCGAGACCGCGTAAGGTCTTGTATAGAAAGGTCTTGAAAGAGTGGGGAATTATACCTTGAATGAAGTACGAAACTTGTTATGAGCGTAACTGGTTTAATGTGTAGAAACCGGTGGAGGCCTAGAATACTACTGGAGCTAAGGATTAACCAATGAATATTTAAATAGTTAGCGACAGATGTGACAGTATGTAATAAATACCAACATGTCTTGCTGTGACAAGTCTAGATAGCTTAATTGTATTTGAGGCCTAGACCTGGATGAAACCAAAGTGAGGAAAATATTATACCTGTTCCTTTAAAAAAGAACTTGAAATAGCAACTTTTGAGCAGGAATGCAAGAAACCGATGCAATCTGTAAAGCCAAAGACATGTGACAGAGGCAAGAATAAATGACTGCGTGATTCTAAGGAGAAGATGTAGTACAGATGTGGATTTTAACGCACTTACCCTAGAAGATCGTGTTTAATAATCGTAATAATTAATATCTGTATGTAGGGTTTGAATAGGGTTGGTGTATAGTTAGAAAAACCTGTTCTTTATATTGGTAACATGAGAAGTCTATAAGAATTAATAAAATGAATATTAAAACGTGGTTACTATTTAATTAGGTGTAGGAAAAAAGAACCGTATCTTATAAATAATTGTTGAGATTTTTAAATGTATCAAACCGGCCAACACAGTTTAAGAAGAAGACTGGTAGTTAGACTTGATTGAATAACCAATACTGACATGTAGGTATCAGCAGTTAACTGACCGAACAGGGACCGTTTTGGCGCGAACGCTGAATACGTTAACCGTGCATGGATATGTTTAAAGAAGATAGAGGGAGCCTACCCCTACATTTTTAGGCCCGAATGGAGGGAAATAGCTGAACGCTATTTCCCTCACTTAGCTTACGTGAGCGTGCCGGTCTCGTGACCGGAAGCCAGGTACCACGACCGGGAGGAAAACCGCGTCAGAACAGACGGCCTCAGAACGGACGGAGGATTGCTCTGGACCTCTTGCTGCAGGAGACTGAAGCTGTTCTGGCGGGAAGCTCGGACCGGAAGTGCTGGTTGCTATGGGGATAGACAATCAGCTGAACGGCAGAGGTGAGTAGGGGCTGGGAGCTTAAATAGGGGACTTACTCCTCCCACAAATTCAGGCCTAATGGCCTTTCTACATGTGAACAGGTTGTTGATCCAAGGTGAAATCTGACTGCCATGATTGAATTAGGAAGGATTCTTTTCCCTTTTTATGGCGCAATCGGCCATCACTTTAAGTTGTGTTTTTGTGCCTTGTTTTAGGTGATTTGCATAGAGGGATGCAATTTAAAGGTTTAACTTGTTAGAATGATTTTAGATTATAGATCTCAACTGATGTCACAACCATCCTATGTTACTGTATAAAGAAATTATTATTATTATTATTCTGACAGCGCCCTAAGCCCCTGATTTCCTTTACTCTGCTGTCTGTGTATGTGTCTACAATAGACCTTACGATGATCATATTCAAACTGAATATAAAACATCTCCCATCTAATGAGCGAAGGGTGAAACGCTTGTCAGGGGCTTAGACACTGCAATCCACCTACGCTACTCACATGCCGACTTGCACTAATGCATTGTGGTTTTTATTCCACACACTCCTATCATATTTGGATACCGCTGTGGTGTTAAGGAGGTTGGTGGGCTGGTTGGAATTATTTAAATCTATAGATTAGGGAAAGTTTTTGATTAAGGGGTGCCCTCGAAGGCACATTAGGGAATCTTTAGCAGCTGTAACCACAGGGCATTTTGCCACGACTTCAGTTTGTCCTCCTTTTTTCAGTACAGCCATTCTTTACTCGTTACATGTATCAGCTTGCATTACATTATTCCTGATCGCTACATTGTTGCATTTACCTGCCCCATCCTGCTTTACACTGTAGTTTTCAAGTTAAGTGCTTTCCAGCACCTGTTAGTTCATTCTAGTAAATCTAGATTGTTTTTGTTTTTTTAGATATATTAACCTCTCTAGATCACATTTATCTTGAGTCTTGTAGGTTCTACTACTTTCCCTTATTTAGTATTCCTACCCTTCTTACGCTATATTTCCAGAATTCATTAGGAAATAGGCAACTTTCTACATTTAATAGATGCTCTCCTTGTGGTCATATATTTATGTCTGTTTTTGGTGGGTGCATATTCACTTCTGGTAAATCCCACTTTTTACATCTATTAAAGGTTACATTTTATTTATTTTTTATTTTCTGTTCAGTCATACACTGACTGAATTAGGTATCTTTCCACTTACACCTTTATCACTGTAGAATACCATCCTTTTCATTATTATTTTTTGATTCTCAGGAATCCTCTTATTCTTTTCTTTTTGTGTTATGAATATTAAACAGAGTATAGTGGGCCACCGCCACTAAGTGCCATGCCCACAGAATATTCATGTTTTGGCCTATTTTGGTATTTTGTGTTCCCAATGTTTATTCTCATGATTTTCCCTTGTACTCTGTGCTTCCCCCGCTATTTGTGGGGGTCCTAGTGAGGACCCGGGGCTATCTAGCAATGTATATTTCAACCCTGTAACCCCTTCCCTTCCCAGGGCGCCGAGCCCCAAAGTTTACCCCCCCCGAATCTACTGTGTTTTAATGTGTGTCCCTGTGTAATGTTGGTATCTCCCAGAGCGGGAGATGGCTGTCAGTAACCCAACCCCCTCCTGCCTAGGATTGGATTGTGTTTAATGGAGACCCCCTGTGGGGGTCTGTGCATAATAGAAGCCTGTTTTCAATAAAGTGAGAGAGTGTTTAAACCTCCAGAGCTGTGTTTCGTCTGGATGCTGGAGAGAGGGAAGATTTAACCCCTGTGTCTGCTGTTCCAGGACTAAGAGTTTCCAGGACTGAGTGCCAAGTCCCCTAACCCTGTAAGAGTTCCTGATCGGCTGAAGGAATGGAACTAGGGGAGGTAACCAGTCTGGTTACCAGGTAGTCCGCTACAGAGTCCCATTGTTATTATTTGTGTATGCACTGATGTCCATTCTCTGGTAGGGTAACATGGTTTAGGATGTTGGTTGTGTTATGTTACAGGAACAGTATGTCTTCCTGTATGACATCCTCCTGGAGACCTTGCTGTGTGGTGTTACCAGTGTTGCTGTTCAGGACGTTCAGAAACACATTCAAAGGATGTCTGTGCAAGACCCTGTAACGAAAACCAATGGATTCATGAAGGAATTCCAGGTAACTCACACAGAGAGGTAAATAGAGTCATTACAACTCTTGAGAACTAGGAAATATTATGGAATTTGGATATACAGTGAGGGAAAAAAATTATTTGATCCCCTGCTGATTTTGAACATTTGCCCACTGACAAAGAAATGATCAGTCTATGGTAGGTGTATTTTAACAGTGAGGGACAGAAAACAAAAAACAAAAATCCAGAAAAACACACATCAAAAAAGTTATAAATTTATTTGAATGTCAATGAGTGAAATAAGTATGTAATCCGCTATCAATCAGCAAGATTTCTGGCTCCCAGGTGTCTTTTATACAGGTAACGAGCTGAGATTAGGAGTACTCTCTTAAAGGGAGTGCTCCTAATCTCAGCTCGTTATCTGTATAAAAGACACCTGTCCACAGAAGCAATCAATCAGATTCCAAACTCTCCACCATGGCCAAGACCAAAAGCTGTCCAAGGATATAAGGACAAGTTTGTAGACCTACACAAGGCTGGAATGGACTTCAAGACCAACAGTTGGTGAAACTCAAAATAACCGTCAGTCTCCCTCGGTCTGGTGCTCCATGCAAGATCTCACCTCGAGGAGTTTCAATGATCATGAGAAGGGTTAGGAATCAGCCCAGGACTACACGGGAGGATCTTGTTAATGATCTCAAGGCATCTCAAGTTTTGTGGTCAGATGAGACCATGGAGGTGGAAACATTATGCTTTGGGAGTGATTTTCTGCTAAGGGGACAGGACAACTGCACCGTATCAAAGGGACGATGAACGGGGCCATGTACCGTCAAATCTTGGGTGAGAACCTCCTTCCCTCCTCCAGGGCATTGAAAATAGGTTGTGGATGGGTATTCCAGCATGACAATGACTTAAAACACACAGTCAAGGCAACAAAGGAGTGGCTCAAGAAGAAGCACATTAAGGTCTCTGTAGAGGGAGCTGAAGGTTCAAGTTGCCAAACGTCAGCCTCAAAACCTTAATGACTTGGAGAGGATCTGCAAAGAGGAGTGGGACAAAATCCCACCTGAGATGTGTGCAAACATGATGGCCAAGTACAAGAAATCTCTGACCTCTGTGATTGCCAACAAGGGTTTTGTCACCCTAAGTACTAAGTCGAAGGGGTCAAATACTTATTTCACTCATTGACATGCAAATCAATTTATAACTTTTTTGACATGCATTTTTTTGTTTTGTTTGTTTTGTTATTCTGTCTCTCACTGTTATAATTAAAATCATAGACTGATCATTTCTTTGTCAGTGGGCAAATGTTTAAAATCAGCAGATTTCCTAACTCTCTGCTAATGGATCATTTGCTACTGTTTGCCCCCAGTAAACTGGAACTGTCATCGATACCAGTTTAAAGAAATAGTGAATCATGTTCACAGCATTCTGGCATTCAGCACATCCTTGAGACAAACTAAATGGTTATATGAATTTCTATATGAATAGGAATATCCAATTGAATTGCTTCTCTAACATTTTATTTGACTTATTTTTCTGTCTTTCTAGTCACTGGAAAAACTAACAGGACTGTATCGACTCTGCACATATAAAGAGGGAGAGAAACTAGAAAATGAGTCTAAAAACCGCTACCGGGGCATCCTCCCAGGTGCAAATTCTTCACGTATATTTACGCAATCCTATATTTTATTAATTATAATATGAGGGACCTGCTTGAAAACTTCAGAAGAAAGTCCAGAGAATTGAATTTGCTGGCCCTTTAATGACCCTGTAACTTTCCAAAACCCCATAAAACCTGTACATAGAGGCAGGGCCGGACTGGGAAAAAAGTTCAGCATTTGTTATTCACAGCGGCCCACTGAAAAGGGGGCGGGGCCAGATAGGGTGTGTTTTGTTATCCCCAATGACAAGCACCCCCATCTCAAAGTGAGCATGTTGGTTCAATGCTCTTCCAGGGCATGAGAAAAGGGCCCTGTATTTGTTCTGCACAGCGCAAGCAAAGTTAATAACATGCTTGTATTGTGTTTGATTGAAACTTGTCTCAGGGGTTTCCATAATTGGAATACTCACTGTAGGGGATCTAGTGTGTGTGTGTGTGTGTGTGTGTGTGTGAGATCTAGTGTGTGTATATCTGTAGATGATCCAGAGTTGGCTAAGGAATCTGGTGTTTGTCTGGAATTTGATGTGTTTAGGGGTGCAGCATGTGTGTGAGGGGTTCTTTGGAATGTATACATATATGTTTGGAAGTATTGTGTGTGGTGCAGTTTGTTTGGGGGCTGCAGTGTGTGTGTGAAGGGTGCAGTGTGTGTGAAGGTTGTAGTGTGTATGTGTGAGGGGTGTAGTGTGTGAGGGGTGCTGTGTGTGTGTGAGTGCTGTGTGTGTTAGACTGATGTTTGACGGTGATTTGTGTGTGTTAGGGAGCTGTGTGAGGGTGATGTGCTATGCGTTAGGGTGCTGTGCGAGGGTGATGTGTGTGTGTGTGTGTGTGTTAGGGTGTTGTGTGAGGGTATTCTCTGTGTGTGTTAGGGAGGTGTGTGTGTTAGGGTGCTGTGTGTGTGCTGTGTGTGTGTGTTGGGGTAATGTGTGTTAGGGTGCTGTGTGAGGGTAATGTGTGTGTGTGTGTGTGTGTTAGGGTGCTGTGTGAGTTAGGGTGCTGTGTGAGGGTGATGTGTGTGTGTGTGTGTTAGGGTGCTGTGTAAGGGTGATGTGTGTGTTTGCAAGGATTGTGTGTTGGGGAGGCAAATAATTGCAAGGATTGATGTATTTTTTTATAATAAAATAAAAAATAAAAAAAACAGACATTATACCCCCCTCTCCCTTCTAAACTGTAGCCTTGGAGGGGGGTTTGTGCTTCTGCCATCCATCCCTGGTGGTCCTAGTGGTAAGTGAACTCTAGCCTGTGGGGCTAGATTTCACTCTTGCGAGACCCGTTCCATTGCAATGGCAACAGTCCGTATCTCGCAAAAGAAACCCAGCGGAGCTGCAGGTTAGAGCTCCTTCAGGCTCCTCTCCTGGCTGTCTCTCGCCCGTGCCGGTGGCCACGTTTGACTGCATGTGGACCGGTGAGGGAGATCTTTGATCTCCCCACTGGCCCTTCATGGAACACAGCGGGGCCGGAGCTTGGATAGTGCCGGTTTTGCATGGACCGTCGAGGGAGATCCTCCAATTTCCCCGGCCGTAATCGGCCAGTGGCCATCGCAGCCCACCGGGCAATATCCTGCTCTTTGGATATTTGAAAGCTTCAGTCCCACAAACGACATCAAAATTGCTTTCAATGTCCGAGCAGAGCATGTCGGATACAAACATCTCTATTTAGAGGGCAGCCTGCAAGGGATAATGGGATACATGCTTTCCAGAAGAAAATTTCTTCCCTTCCGGAACCATAACCAGATTTTCCATTAGGCAGAGTAGGTATTATCCACAGACACCCATACTATAGGGGGGCGCTTACTCTGCCTGTTACTAAACTAATCCCTACCACTGTCCTGTGGTACTGAGTGGGCATTATCTACAGACACCTGTCCTATAGGGGGGCGCTCACTCTGCCCGTTACCAGAACAATCCCTACCACTGTCACAGGGCACTGAGTAGGTATTATCTACAGACACCTGTCCTATAGGGGGCGCTCACTCTGCCCGTTACCAGAACAATCCCTACCACTGTCACAGGGCACTGAGTAGGTATTATCTACAGACACCTGTCCTATAGGGGCTGCTCACTCTGCCCCTTACCAGAACAATCCCTACCACTGTCACAGGGCACTGAGTAGGTATTATCTACAGACACCTGTACTATAGGGGGCGCTCACTCTGCCCGTTACCAGAACAATCCCTACCACTGTCACAGGGCACTGAGTATCTACAGACACCTGTCCTATAGGGGGCGCTCACTCTGCCCATTACCAAACTAATCCCTACCACTGTCACAGGGCACTGAGTAGGTATTATCTACAGACACCTGTCCTATAGGGGCTGCTCACTCTGCCCCTTACCAGAACAATCCCTACCACTGTCACAGGGCACTGAGTAGGTATTATCTACAGACACCTGTACTATAGGGGGCGCACACTCTGCCCGTTATCAGAACAATCCCTACCACTGTCACAGGGCACTGAGTAGGTATTATTTACAGACACCTGTACTATAGGGGGCGCTCAGTCTGCCCGTTACCAGAACAATCCCTACCACTGTCACAGGGCACTGAGTAGGTATTATCTACATACACTTGTCCTATAGGGGCTGCTCACTCTGCCCGTTACCAGAACAATCCCTACCACTGTCACAGGGCACTGAGTAGGTATTATCTACAGACACCTGTCCAATAGGGGCTGCTTACTCTGCCCGTTACCAGAACAATCCCTACCACTGTCACAGGGCACTGAGTAGGTATTATCTACAGACACCTGTCCTATAGGGGCTGCTCACTCTGCCCCTTACCAGAACAATCCCTACCACTGTCACAGGGCACTGAGTAGGTATTATCTACAGACACCTGTCCTATAGGGGCTGCTCACTCTGCCCGTTACCAGAACAATCCTTGCCACTGTCACAGGGCACTGAGTAGGTATTATCTACAGACACCTGTCCTATAGGGGCTGCTCACTCTGCCCCTTACCAGAACAATCCCTACCACTGTCACAGGGCACTGAGTAGGTATTATCTACAGACACCTGTACTATAGGGGGCGCACACTCTGCCCGTTATCAGAACAATCCCTACCACTGTCACAGGGCACTGAGTAGGTATTATTTACAGACACCTGTACTATAGGGGGCGCTCAGTCTGCCCGTTACCAGAACAATCCCTACCACTGTCACAGGGCACTGAGTAGGTATTATCTACATACACTTGTCCTATAGGGGCTGCTCACTCTGCCCGTTACCAGAACAATCCCTACCACTGTCACAGGGCACTGAGTAGGTATTATCTACAGACACCTGTCCAATAGGGGCTGCTCACTCTGCCCGTTACCAGAACAATCCCTACCACTGTCACAGGGCACTGAGTAGGTATTATCTACAGACACCTGTCCTATAGGGGCTGCTCACTCTGCCCCTTACCAGAACAATCCCTACCACTGTCACAGGGCACTGAGTAGGTATTATCTACAGACACCTGTCCTATAGGGGCTGCTCACTCTGCCCGTTACCAGAACAATCCTTGCCACTGTCACAGGGCACTGAGTAGGTATTATCTACAGACACCTGTCCTATAGGGGCTGCTCACTCTGCCCCTTACCAGAACAATCCCTACCACTGTCACAGGGCACTGAGTAGGTATTATCTACAGACACCTGTACTATAGGGGGCGTACACTCTGCCCGTTATCAGAACAATCCCTACCACTGTCACAGGGCACTGAGTAGGTATTATCTACAGACACCTGTACTATAGGGGGCGCTCAGTCTGCCCGTTACCAGAACAATCCCTACCACTGTCACAGGGCACTGAGTAGGTATTATCTACAGACACTTGTCCTATAGGGGCTGCTCACTCTGCCCGTTACCAGAACGATCCCTACCACTGTCACAGGGCACTGAACCAAGTACCACACAGGCGGACCACCCAGAAGTGGAAGTGTGCAGGAAATTTACCTCCCAGAAGCTGCGGTTAACCGCACCTTAATTGCCGAACGCTGGGTGGCCTTTGTTCGTTTGCCGAACACGTGGCGGCGGCCATCTTTGTTAATGCGAACGAGGTCAGCGGTATGTGTAGCCAAATTCATGGAACTAAAATCGGCTACACATTTCCGCGAACACCGCTGAGCCCTACCTTCTCCCCTACTGATTTTACAGCCGCAGAGACTAAGCTCCATTCGGCGATGGGACTTAGTCATTTTCTCAGCCTGAAATAGACCGGCCGCACAGCCCAAATCTATGGAACTGTTTTGGGCAGGAAAATGTGCTTGCGGTCGGTCATAAAGGGACCTCCAGCTAACTTTTTAACCCCTGGATGGATTTGTCTGATTGGTTATGTTTATGTTTAAAGTGTGCTGATTAATAATATGTAATTTTTATGAAGATTGGATGTGTAGTTTTAAAGTTACAGTGTATGGATAAAAACTGTATTTTTACTGCCTGTGTTAATTATGTTAAACCATTGTGTGCCATAATTAGATTACAGGCAGAGGGGAGGATTTTTGTGTGTAATTGCTGGGAGTGTTTCTGTAATGTACGTTTATGATTGGTTGTTGTGTAAAACCCTGTGGGTGGTACTAATGTGTAAGAATGTGTACATAAGCACAATAAACCCACAGCTCTGGCTGACCACTGCTTGACCATCAACACGGAGCCTTGTCTCGTCATGGATTACAGGGTAAAACTTACCAGGAAAGGTTAAAGGATCTTAACATGTATAGCTTGGAGGAAAGACGAGACAGGGGGGATATGATAGAAACATTTAAATATATAAAAGGGAATCAACACAGTAAAGGAGGAGACTATATTTAAAAGAAGAAAAACTACCACAACAAGAGGACATAGTCTTAAATTAGAGGACAAAGGTTTAAAAATAATATCAGGAAGTATTACTTTACTGAGAGGGTAGTGGATGCATGGAATAGCCTTCCAGCTGAAGTGGTAGAGGTTAACACAGTAAAAGGAGTTTAAGCATGCGTGGGATAGGCATAAGGCTATCCTAACTATAAGATAAGACTAGGGACTAATGAAAGTATTTAGAAAATTGGGCAGACTAGATGGGCCAAATGGTTCTTATTTGCCGTCACATTCTATGTTTCTATGTTTCTATGTCTTTGGGGGGATTTACTGAATACTGATAGAGACTGATTGCCAGGAGTGTAGGCCGCTTGGATGCTTTTCCTATTCGTCTGCTAGCAGTGATTCGTATGGTTCCAGTTCGTGTGTTTGGAGTGCTATATTGAATGCCGGTCGGGAGTTTGGAGCATTCCCTTATTGGCTGTTCGTGAGTTTGGTGTTCTGCAGTAGCTGTGCCTGCATCTCTGGAAAGGGGGACGATCGCCTAAACGTTTTTTACCCCTTGTGTGCAAAACGGTCCGTTACACCTTATATTAGTTTGGAAGCGGGAGATTGGGGGACACTAGAGAATTATGTGACCCTGCTTCTGCCCTTCCTTAGCTGTTAGAATGCAGCTATGGACGTTATCATTCAAAGGCATTTCTTCTCTAATAATGCCAGAAATTCAGACCACATAATAAAATACCTTCTCTGCAGGGTGATTGCCTTCAATGGAGCAAAACAAAGGTAAGTGGGGATTTATGGACTATTTGTTACATATCTACAATGTGATAGGGTGAGGGTTAATACACATTGACAAAGAATAAAATATAATACTGGTTTCAAGAGCTGTGGATTACATCTCTACCAAAACTGTAAATAGTTTGGTTTGATTTAGACCTGAAGATAAATTGTCACTGTATATTATGTCTGATTATACAGGTGACCACTACCGCCCCATCCTGATGTCTTCAATGAACGAGCAGAACTTCTCCGGTTATATTAATGCTGTGTTTATTAATGTAAGTGTCCAATACTTATATATGAATGAGGTTTATTCTACCGTTATACACAGCACTAGACAGGTGCCATTCGCCTCAGTCCGAATTTAAATTTGGACGAATTTCAGCAATTTGGATGCTTCCGAATGGCTGAATTGCCAAATTTCAGAAGTGCTGAACCAAACCGAATTGCCGATGTGCTTCGGATTTCTGAAAAGTGGCAAAACAGGAGAATGAGGGAAAATTAGGGGAATGATGACAGGAATCTAACCCTACCCCCAACCCTAACCTGCTTCGTATTTCTGAAAAGTGGCAAAACAGGAGAGTGAGGGAAAATTAGGGGAATGATGACAGGAATCTAACCCTAACCCTACCCCCAACCCTAACCTATGTTCAGCACTTCTGAAATTTGGCAATTCCCTAACCCCACCCCTAACCCTACCCAAACCCCTAACCCCACCCAAACCCCTAACCCCAACTCACCGCCCTCCCCCTAACCCTGCTCCTAACCCTACACCAATCCCAACCCCCAACTCCAACCCTAACCCTAACTGACAAGGAGGCAGATCAGGGGCAGAGCCAGCACAATTCAAACACAGCCCTGGCCAATCAGCATGTCCTCATAGAGATAAATTGAATCAATGAATCTCTATGAGGAAAGTTCAGTGTCTGCATGCAGATGGAGGAGATACGGAATGTTTGGATGCATTTTAGGCAGCCATGACCCAGGAAGGATCTCTAGCAGCCATCTGAGGAGTAGCCAGTGAAGTTATCACTAGGCTGTAATGTAAACACTGCATTTTCTCTGAAAAGACAGTGTTTACAGCAAAAAGCCTGAAGGTAATGATTATACTCAACTGAACAAATACAATAAGCTGTAGGGTCTATAGTATCCCTTTAAAGGCCAGAGTAGCCAAACTGAAATCTCAGCAGACTGGGAGAATGTTTCCAGTTCGGCTATTTTAACCTTAAATTTGAAATTCACTTTAAATTCCCTGCAATTGAGACGGCTTTCATTAAATTAAAACTTTGGTCCCTTTCCACACAGTGAAATACATGTTTCATGCAGACAAACAGCCTAAACACTTCAGATGAATTCCCGGGAGCGATGGACTCTCCTGGCGTGTGGCTTCCACTGACGCGTTTTGCTGCTCCAGTCAACTTTCCCTGATTGCAAAACTATCCGTCCCATTTCCTGGGTTTTAACTTGTTCGAAATCATAACGGACCCTCAGTGTCCAAACACAGTTCCTCCTGTCATAACTGACCTGTCACATTATGTCAGACGCCTAGTTGCAGTCGTCCTCTTACCACCTAAACAGGCGAAAATGCTGAAACTCTATGAAATGTTTCATCTTCCAAAGCCGATGTTAGCACCTTCTCAACCGATTCCAGTCCCTCCAGAACAAAGCCCCTCTAGTCTTTGAAGGGTCCGCTTTGTTAATGTTCCCAGACTACAACCACAACTGCAACAGCTACACCTTAGGGACATTCCCTATTGCTGGGGGATACCAAAGGTGATCCTGTTGACTTACCTTGGGACTACTTATAGATCTCGGAGCTATCCAGAGTCAAAAACCCTCTTGCAGAAGTTGGGCCTTGCTGATCAACCGGGCAAGGAAGGTTAGGTTTTTTTCTCACTTGGACCCTGCCAGGATTGAAGAGTTCACTCCTCGCTCATCTGGAATAGCCTTCCAGCTGAAGTGGTAGAGGTTAACACAGTAAAGGAGTTTAAGCATGCATGGGATATGCATAAGGCTATCCTAACTATAATATAAGGTCAGGGACTAATGAAAGTATTTAACAATTGGGCAGACTAGATGGGCCGAATGGTTCTTGGAATGGAATCTGCCGCCACATTCTATGTTTCTATCTCAGTGACCATCCTCTGAGCAAGAGCTGACATGAAGGGCCGGGAGCATGGGGAATAGGCCTCAAGTCCGAGATACTCCCTCTTTACACCACAATGAACCTGTTCTCATTGTGGTCTGCAGCTCCTCATTTTTCTTTCTTCATTTACTCGTTATTAATATCTGTTCCATTTTTACTTTTATTTGCCTAAATGGCACTGCCTAATGGCACTGTGTTATCTGTGAATATTCCTTATATGAATATAACTGGCTAGTGGCTAATGAGTCTTAGTGTGAAGGTTACTATAACCTGGGACTTAACCTCATTCATGATCCCACCATTACCCAACCCTCACTGGCACACATGTTGTGGATTCACTATAACTATATCAGCTACCAGTAGGGAAGTGAGCACCTCGCTGTGCACCACTATTGAAGTCCATCAGCCTTCCACAGAATTTCACTTATGCCAACAAGGGGTTAATATTTATTTAATATTTAGGACCACTCTAGGCACCCAGACCACTTCAGCTTAATGAAGTGGTCTGGGTGCCAGGTCCAGCTAGGATTAACCCATTTTTTTAAATAAACATAGCAGTTTCAGAGAATCCTTCCTCCAAATCCTCTAGTGGCTGTCTCATTGACAGCCGCTAGAGGCGTTTGCGTGATTCTCACTGTGAAAATCACAGTGAGAACACGCAAGCGTCCATAGGAAAGCATTATGAATGCTTTCCTATGCGACCGGCTGAATGCGTGCGCAGCTCTTGCCGCGCGTGCGCATTCAGCCGAATGGGAGAAATGGAGGAGGATCGGAGGAGGAGAGCTCCCCGCCCAGTGCTGGAAAAGGGTAAGTTTTTACCCCTTTCCCCCTTCCAGAGCCGGACGGGAGGGGGACCCTGAGGGTGGGGGCACCGTCAGGGCACTATGGTGCCAGGAAAACGAGTATGTTTTCCTGGCACTATGGTGGTCCTTTAATATTTTACCAGGAAGGATACATTGAGAATTGTTAATAGTTTGTTCTTTACCTTTTAGTTGCTTCCTTGTTTTTTTTAACTTTATTTAAAAATATATATCTCATTCAGCATGTCTCTTATAAGCCTGACACCTTGATGTTTTTGAGGAACACACTTATATGTGTAAAAATAAAGAATGTCAAAAATTAAAAACAAACACAGTTCCTCCTTCGTGTGAATTTGAACACTGTACACATTGTACACATATTGGTTGCAGCTTAGGTGTTTAGATTTGTTTTATTAAAGTTATGGTGCACTATTTTGGTTTACTGTACATCCTTCATACAGTTATCATTTTGGTCAGTTTAGATTTTTTTATAAACTGTAGACTGAAGCGATCACAGTATCATTAATCCCAGTTCTGTTCTCAATGTACAAATGCCTCACATGGATTATTAAATTTAAACAGCTGGTTTTATTTGGCGCACTGAGCAGGACACACTCTTACAGGATAAAAGATATTTACTGTGTCTCTTTCCATTCTGAGAGGTGACGGTTGGCCATAGATAACTTGAAGATTCAGCAGCGGTGTTTGTTTTATAACTTTGTTTTCATTTAGTCTTGTTTTCTTGTTACTCTGTGAGGATATTTATGGGGTGATAAATATTAAAAATAATATTTTCATAAAAATTATCAAATTACTTTAATAATTTGTATTATATCAAAATAGATATCTTGGCACTGTTTCTCAGATGATATTAATTGAAAGCTGGGAATTACCCACTATTTTAATTCTCATAGATCCTGGAGTAAGTTTCACTAGAGGATTTTTATTTCACACATTAATCACAGCTAATTATAAAAATATAATTTATTGTGACAATAATATTATAATATGTAACATGCGTGATAATAATCAATGAATATTTAGGTATAACATAAGTATACAATATGGCAGTGATTTAACACAGTTTATAAACAGCTAAATAGCAACAGTTCTATCAACATGTATGCAGTTTTCAGCAAGATTTACAACAGGACACCACTTTGAAATCAGGATACTGAAACTTCCTTAACACAGAACACAGCATGTCACAGCAACACAGCATAAAGCAAGACAAACTTTGGCTGACAGTCAAATCACTGAATTAACTAATTCACTGCTGGCTGCAATTCCCATAGGCAAAATATCCTTTTATATTGCAATACAATATTTCTCATACTAGATCACTGACCATTCCTTAATGTTTAAAGAAGTTCTCTATACATCACTAGTTGATAGTGACCATTAGAGAAAGGTGGGCGTGTCTTCCCTACAGCCTGTCATCTAGATTTTGGTCAGTAGATGGTGCAATTACATCACAGAAAATTCTTGTCAAGGGATCCATTTACCTTTTTGTATAATGGGTTAACTGAATTTCGTGATGCGTTTGATGTTATCTTGGTTATCTTTATGGATAACCATTCGTCACCAACATGTCACTCTTCAAAGGTTTTGGTTCATTTTTACTAGACAGAGCGTCTGCAATTTTCGCCATACGTTAGATTTCTGACACAAGGTCCTAAACTCTTCTTCACCTCTCTATACAATGGAACTTTGTTTTATTTTTTATTTTTTATAGTAAAATTAATTACTTAGTGTTATCTGTCATTGGTCATCCTGTGTCTGGTTTTCTTGTGTGAAACTGTGTGTAGCACATAGTAATATTACACATATTCCACTAACGTTAGTAAATAATATGACATTTCTTCATTGATATTATATCCATGAGTATTCTATATTATTAACTTAGTACTATTTATATATGATTATATATATATATATATATAATATAAATTTGTTTCTGGGTTGTAGCATTCAACCCCCTTTTGCTATAGACATCATGTCTTATCTTTGCCAATGTTTACATTAGTCGCATTCCTTAGCTCAGTCTTGAGTGAATAGAGTTACAGAGAGAAAAAAATTGTGTCTGTGTTTGCATTGTGATACAAAATGGAGTCACTTCTGTTCTGATAGTGACTTACAGTATACACTGTTAATTTCTGTTTTAACACAAAATGTCTGCCAGTATAAATATACTGACAACTCTCCCGCTTGTATCTGATGTTCTAGGTAAGATAACTTCATGCTGTTTATTCCTTTAGTCTAACTGCCAGGATGACGCCTTCGTGGTGACGCAGCTGCCGTTGAAGAAGACTCTGTCTGATTTTTGGTCCCTGGTCTGGGACTATAAATGCACCTTGGTGGTCCTCATGCATGATCCGCAGGATGTGTCAGAGGTAGAGTCAGCCCTGGCCATTTATATCGGGATAATAGTATAAATGGTTCTGTAATTATTACTAATTCTTATAATTACTGCATAACATCGCACTGGCAGGGTAATCTTGAATAAAATCTGTTTATATTTCATGTATCGCTTGATAGAAGACATTTATTTAGTATTTGATGTTTAATTATAAACCCTGATTACTGCCCTAAGTTGAATGCCCAGTTTTGGCCGGAAAAGGGAGTAATCAGACATGGCGGATTCAGCATCAAAAAGATCTCCAAGGCTACAATGGCAGGATACAGAGAGACCACACTCTGCATAAAGCACACAGATGAGGTGAGTGTACCGCAATGAGTGACTGATAAGCAGGCTTCAGATGTATGGGATAATAAGGAATTTATTAACAAAGCATTTAATGGTGTTATATAAAAAACATGTGTTAAAGGCTAGGTTAGAAAAACTCCTCTCCAACCTGGAAACCAGCTCGTTATGGCTGCTGTAGGATTTTCTCCACTTCCGAGCCTAGAATGGTTGTCAATGCACACAGTTTTTTACTTTATACATTTCTGCTCAAAAGTTTGCATACCCTTGGAGAATTGGTAATATGTGCCATGTTTAAAGAAAACATGTGTGAGCAGGCAAAGCAAATTTATTTTATTTCTTATGAGATTCATATTCAACTGTAGGTTATAACAGAATGGCACAATCAAAAAACAAAACATGGCAACAAAGAAACAAATGAAATGATCCTTGTTCAAAAGTCTGCATACCCTGAGTTCTTAATACAGTGTATTGCCCCCTTTAGCATCAATGGCAGTGCGCAGTCTTTTGTAATAGTTGTGTATGAGGCCCCTAGTTCTTGCAGGTGGTATAGCTACCCATTCGTCTTGGCAAAATGCCTCCAGGTCATGCAAAGTCTTTGGTCGTCTTCCATGAACTGCACGTTTGAGATCTCCCCAGACTGGCTCCATGATATTAAGTTCAGGAGACTGAAGGCCACTCCAGAACCTGCTGTAACCAGTGGAGGGCCAACTTAGCCTTGTGCTTAGGGTCATTGTCATGCTGGAAAGTCCAAGAGCGTCCCATACGCAGCCTTCATGCAGAAGAATGCAAATTGTCTGCCAGTATTTTCTGATAACATGCTGCGTTCATCTTGCCATTAATTTTCACAAGATTCCCTGTGCCTTCAGAGCACAACCCACTAACCCTATTTCGATCCATCCCAGTGTATGCCCTTTGGAATTGGCCCTGTTTTATTGATTATACAGGTGTCATAATACGCGCTCTTACGGACATGTATTTAAACTAGGATATAAAGCTGATTTTACCTTTTTTTGCTATATGTGTATACCCGTCGTGCTATTTGCTGAACTGCATTTTACTATAAACTGTGTGATGCCTATGCAAAATTAAAATAAAAACTCATCTTTTCTATGTTACAAGCTTCTCGATTCCAGTTTAAACATTGCAACACTCCATTCACCACTAAGTGAAGTGAATCAAGTGCACGCACTCTGTTACTCTTAGAGCAGGGGTTCCCAACCCAGTATCCCCTAACAGTCCAGGATTTAGTGATTACCCTGTTGTGTATAAAGTATTTTTTTTTTCTTTCTAAAAACAGTTCAGACACAACTGGATAATCCCTAAATCCTGGACTGGTAGGGGGTTCTTGACTGGATTGGGAAGCACTGTTTTAGAGCATTCCTTCCTTCAAAAACCTAGGCTTCCATTTAATATATTTTTAAATGCTGAAAGGATTTAAGACTTTGCGGAAAAAAAAAATGATGTAGGTTTTAAAAATATTTTGATAATTTGATATATTCATATTTTTTTGTCATAGTTTTTTTTTTTTTTTTTAAATATGATTTTTATTAATGTATTTGCAACGTATTTTCAACAAAAATAGGCAAGGGGTGGGGGGATGGGACTCGCAGGTCCCTGGAAACAACAACATAAAGTATTTGCTTTTGGGCTCGCAGGCCCCAATGAACGATGCGGACTCGCAGGTCCCACGCATTCCAAACAGCTAATAATGAGTACCTTTGTCCCATGTGTTGCGCTCTTTTTTTTATTTATATTGATAATTCGTTACAGTTTTTATTGCATAACATGTGAATAGATTGGTGGGAACTCGTAGGTTTTCGACCTGCTTTACATTATTAGGTCTTGTGAGGTGCCTAGATTCTCATGAGCAAGGCATAAAATAAGATACGAAGGTCCCTAGGTATCCTAGTCAGATGGCTCATAACTTGAAAACGTAAACTATCAAAAGAAAACTAGTATCGAGTGGACAGATAGAGGAGCACAAAACATTGTATTCCGATAAAGTAATGTCAGTTTGTCGTGTAACATGTCTGAGTTGCGGGATTACGGCCGTCAGGCGGTCCCTAATTCTGTCTGCAGTCGCTTGCCGGAGTTCAGGTGGTGAGTGTGGGTACCCTAAGCCGTTAGATGTCGGCGTGTGTGTGTGTGTCCGTGTGGTTGGGGGAGGACCGTGTCCCTTCGTTTGTGGGGTGTAGTGACTTAGCTTCCCTGTGTGGTTATCGGGTAACATGTGAGGGTAACGTTCTGCTTTGACCCTGGTACTTTCTTTGATGTGGCATGTTATGTGTGGTGAAGCTACTAGAGTCAGGGTAAGTATATCTTCTTGTGTGTGTTCCCCTTGTCCAGGCTGTTGGCACACCGTGACCTGGTCGTTGGGGTCTTTTTAACCTTAGGGTATGGTACGTGCGCCGCGTTGTCACCCATGAACGTCTGTTTGTTTTAGTATGTTCTAGAGGTGGCTTGTGTGTATATTCATGTTGATCGATTCCCTTAATCCTCCCCAAGTGGTCGGGTCCTGTATGCCGGTTAGTGGGCTTGGTCCCCTGTGTCTGGTCGGTCATGTGGTGGTTTTCCTTGTGGGTGTTCCGTCTTGTGGCAGGCGTGCGCGGCCCCTACCTCACCCCCGCCCCCGCTCCGCCGGCGTGGCCGCCCGCACCCCCGGTCTCCCGTCTCTCGGCAACATGCCCCACCCACGGCCCCCATCGTTCCACGTATTTTTCACTTTGTCCCATGAGAGACGCCCTCATCTTTTCTGCGGAGCGGATCTCCTCAACTCTGTCGTACCATTGGGTTAGCGTTGGTGGCTGTGTCTGTTTCCACATCGCGGGTATGAGTGCTTTAGCTGCATCCAGCATATGTCGCAATATGGATTTTTTGTATTGTGAGATTGGTTGTGGGGTCGAGTGTAGTAAGTATTGTTCCATGTTGAGGGGGAACGGTTCTCGGAGGATCTCAGTAATTTTTGTGCTGATTTGGGACCAGAACGGCTGTATGATTGAGCAGTTCCACCAAATGTGGCTGAGGGTACCTTCCTCCTCTCCACACCTCCAGCATATGGATGGGACATTGGGAAATATCCTATGAAGACGTGTTGGGGTTTTGTACCATTGTGATAAGAGTTTGTAATTGACTTCTTGAAATCGGGTGCTGACCGAAGATTTATGGTGTAAGATGAGTATTTTTTCCCATTGGGTGGGGGTAAATTCCTGGTTTGTGATGCTTTCCCATTGCGTCTTAAATGTGACTATTTCTGTGCGGTCACCTGTGAGGACGTATTGGTAAAGGTATGAGATCGCTTTGCCTAAACTCGTTTTGGTAAGACACAATCTTTCAAATTGCGTTAGGGCCCTGTGTAAGGCTGTTCTATCTCTGAATGAATGGTAGAAATGTTTTAGTTGAGTATAGCGGAAGACTTGCTGTAGTGTCGGGGTTTGTGTATTGATGAGTTCTGAGAGCGTTTTCAGGGTGGCGTTGCCCAGGACACTGTGGAGTGGTACGTATTCCTGCTCTTGTTCTCCCAGGATTCCCCAGGCCCCGGCAGTGATGCCCCCTCCTATGGAACGATTGTTGGTGATAGGGGTCAACGGGCTTGGTGTCGGGGATATGTGTTTGGCTTTTCTTGTTGTGTCCCACGTATGTAAGGTGTGGGCCATCGGTGAGGTGCGATCGGGGTCTTTCCGTGTCGTGGTCTTGGTCCCCCATACGATTTCTGGCATAGCTGCACAACCCCCACTCTCCATCAGCGGGATCCATTGTTTATGTGATGGGCGGGTGTGCCATTCTAGTATGCGTTGCAACGCGGTGGCCTGGTGGTATTTTTTCATGTCCGGGAGTGCGAGGCCGCCCTGGTGGCGGGGAAGGCACAGGGTGTCGTGGCTGATCCTGGGTCGCTGACCTCTCCATATGTATTTAAGAATTGCCGATCTGAGGGAGGAAAAATATGCCGTGGGTATCGTCATTGGTAGCGTTTGATATAGATAAAGCAATCGGGGCAGTATATTCATTTTCACTACCGCGATGCGCCCCAGCCAAGATATGTGTTGGGGGTTCCACTCACACAGATCCCGCTGTATTTTGGCTAGCAACGGTATGAAATTTGACGTGTATAGATCCAGTGGATCTCTAGTGAGCCATATTCCTAGGTACTTCATCCTGGTCTCACACCAGTGGAACTGGAAATGTGTACGTAGGCTGTCGTTTTCTTCGCTAGGTATCGAGATATTAAGGACCTCGCATTTTGATAGGTTTAGTTTAAGGCCGGATATGTCTCCATATGTTTCAAATTCTTTGAGGAGGCACGGAAGGGAGATTCTGGGTTGGGAAACAAAAAATAACATGTCATCTGCATACGCTGCGGTTTTATGCACTGTCCCATCAGAGCGGAATCCCTTGATGTCTTCATTGTGTCGTATTGCTTCAAGCAGCGGTTCTAGTGTCAGGGCGAAAATTAACGGGGACAGGGGGCAGCCCTGCCTTGTTCCGTTCCGGATAGGGAAGGGGGTCGTGAGCGCCCCGTTCACCCTGACCCGTGCGTTCGGCCGGCTATAAATGGCCGCGATCCAGGTGAGCAGGTTGATTCCAAATCCCATCTCCCTGAGCAGCTCCAACAGGTATGTCCAGTCCACCCTGTCAAACGCCTTCTCTGCGTCGGTGGACAGAAGTAGCAGTCGGTCCCCCGTGCGTTTGGCCAGGTGTTGGATGGAGAGAGCCCGTAGTGTACTGTCGCGGGCTTCTCTGCCCGGGACGAAGCCCGTTTGGTCAGGATGGATTAGTCTGGGTAGGAACGTGTTGAGGCGGCTCGATAGAACCTTGGTGAATAATTTGAGATCAATGTTCAGGAGAGAGATTGGCCTGTAACTGCTGCATTGTTCGAGGTCCTTTCCTGGCTTAGGGAGGATGGTTATGGTTGCTGCCAATGTGTCATCGTGAAGCCCGTCGCCCGACGTGATTGCATTCACGGCTGCGGTTAATTTTGGGATGAGTATGGGCCCGAATTTCTTGTAGTATTCGAGGGTAAACCCGTCGGGTCCCGGGGCTTTACCCGTCTTTGTCGTTTTGATCGCTGCTCTAATTTCTTCTTCAGTGATGGGAGCATCCATGCATTCGGCCTCGTCGCGGGTGACATGCTTGACTAAATGTCGCGTGAGGTATTGTAGAATCTCCTGTTTTTTAACATGTGTCGTTGTATCAGGGGATTGTGAGTGTAGATTATATAGGTGAGTGTAGTAGGTTCGAAATTCGTTTGCTATGCTTTCGGGGTGTTGGGTCGTCCGCCCCCCGGGTAGTTTCAGCTTGTGTACTTGCGCTGGTGCTTGTTGGCCTTTAAGCATACGGGCTAGAAGTTTACCCCCTTTGTTCGCGTGTATGTAGTAAAAGGCGGTCGACCTCTGCAGTTGCCTGTAATGTTTCTTGATTAATAGATCATGCAATTGGCTGCGCAGGTCCAGCAGTTCCCTATAGGTGTCCTCCTTGAGCGTTTGCTTATGGCGTTCCTCGATGTCCCTGATTTTATCAAGGAGGTCTGCCATCTGTTGTTGGGCCTCTCTTTTCCTTGCCGTTGCTAGTTGGATTATATAGCCGCGTACTACGCATTTATGGGCTTCCCATATGGTGGTGGCTGGGGTGTCTCCGGTTTCGTTATGTAGGAAGTATTCATTCAGTGCTTCCATAATTTTGTCCCTAGTAGTTACGTCTTCTAACAGGGTGTCGTTGAGCCTCCAAGTCATCACCTTCGGTCTTATTAACGGGGAGTCTAGTTCTAGAGTAACCGCCCCATGGTCGGACCACGTGGCTGCGTCGATGGTTGCCCCCTGCAGTGCGGTGAGTTGCTCCTGTTGGAGGAACACGTAGTCAATCCTCGAGTATCTCTCATGGACCCTCGAGTAGTGTGTGAAATCCTTGACCGTGGGGTGGAGGGCTCTCCAGCAGTCCACCAATCGTAGGCTTCGGAGGGCTCGTAGAGTGGTTCGGATGTCTCTTTGTGGAGCGCTGCTGCGTCCTGCGGAGGTGTCCACAGAGGGGTCCAGGGGGATGTTGAGATCTCCCCCTAGTATAAGGGTCCCCTCCGTGAAGTCAGTCAACAAGCGTTGTGTTCTGCGAATGAACTGCGCCTGATTCCGATTAGGGGCGTATATACTCGCCAGGGTGTAAGTTCTGTTCATTATTGTGCCCTTCAGGAAGATGTAACGCCCTTCTGTGTCCACGATTTTATCCGTTTCCGTGAATCCCAGCCTCGTGGCGAGAAGTATTGCTACTCCTGCCTTCTTAGTGGGGTGGTGGTTGCTGAAGTACGTGTGGGAGTATGATCTGTCCTTCAGGGCCGGGGCCGAGTCCATTCGGAAATGAGTTTCCTGGAGTAGGGCAATCGAGATACGTTTTTGTCGGAGTTCCCGCAGGAGGTGCGTTCTTCGCTCTGGGATATTCAGTCCCCTGCAGTTATGGGTAATTATGCGCAGTGGGCAAGGCTGGTACGCCGATCTTGTTGGTGGGGAGGCTCGCGGTGGGCGTACGCAGCACGGGCGGACCGGGAGGCCACCGTCCGCCATAGTATATCGTGTCTCGGACCCAGCGGCCAGGTGCCGGGGAAGCAGGGGGAGACGGTAGCGGGCGCCGAGAACACGCTCTGCCACCTGGCGGTCTCGCGTGGTGTGTGGGCAGTCGTGTATGTGCGGTGTATTCGTGTCAGTGGTTGAGTATAGTGGAATCGTCTACCTTGCTCCGGCAAGGAGGCCTGTGTGACTGCGGATGCAGGCGGCGGCGCCCCTGGTTCGGGTATATCCCCGTCCTGGGCCCGCCTACTCACCGCCGTAACAATTGTTCACACAGGTGGTGTGGGGTGTGTGTCTCCCTCCGCCCTGGCGGCAGGTATAGTGGATTCAAGTGTTGTTAAGTGTTCCGCCCTCCCTTGGAGGTATGTCCCTGTGGTAGAGTGAGTTCCGACTATAGTGAGGGTCCTCCACCATATGAAGTTGTATACGTGTCGCAGCCTGCTTTTAAGTGTGCTCTGTAGTTATCTATGAGTTCAATTGTGTAGTCCGGTACTCGCGTGTAGCCGTATGGCCTAGTCGTCGCCTCTCCCGCACCCTAATGTGTTGAGATCTGATAGTGTCAGCGATGCATTCTACCCGTCATATCTTATGCCCCTGTCGTCGTGGAGACCGTCATTCCCCGTGTGGCCAAGTACCCAGGGGGGGGGATGGGGTGTTCTAGATGTTACCTGTTCGTGGCCGTGTTTTATAGAGTGTGGTTAACATGCCTTTCACGTGACAGCTGTTGGTATCTATTAGGTCGTGAGTGGCCCTGAACTGCGTTACATCGTCGCTACGTCATGCCCTCACCAGGGAGGATCTCTGGGAGCATTCACAATGTGGAGTCAGTTAGGTAAGCTGTCTGTTCAGACCTGTTTATCGGGAGCTCCTTGTGGTGGGCCTTCGTCAGCGTATTTGGGCGTTGAACAATTTCTGGTGCGTCTACAATTACATTCTTATACATCCCCCTGCCTAAGAGTGGTGCCCGCGTTACCAGTTTCTCCCTGCGGTTTGTAATGCTGTAAACCATTATCTCGGATTTCTAGCGCTCTGGATACCTAGCGGGATGCCTCCACCGCTATGTAGCTGACTGGAGGTTGGATCGTGGAGTATGCGTCCATGAGAGTACCAGTTATTAAGTTCCCTATGTTCCCCTCTGGCCGCATGAGGGGTGGCAGCGCCTAGTACCTAAGTGTATAGTTCCTGGTGGCCTATGTCAGGGCGTCAGCGGCTTGGACTAGTCCGGGGGGGGGAGGGTGGTCCATGGCGGGGGGGGTTGAGGGTGAGAGTCCCCCGTTGCTGCCCCTTCCGAGGGGGGAGTTGGAGCCCAGAGTAAGCTATCGTGGTGTGGGGTAAGTCGTTGTGCAGTTTGCAAGAAGGTGCGTTGGCCCCTGAGGTTAACATCGGGCAGTCTCAGTTTTACAGGACTCTGCATTTAATAGGACTATTTTTAAAATAGAGTTTGACATACGGTCCAGTGGTGAGATGAAACCTGCTTACTGTTAGTTATAAAAATCCATAAAAGGAACATACAATTGGAAAGTTCATGACTGGGATGATTTTGACTCTGTCAATTCACTTTAGAGGCATGGATCTAGGCACTAGCTTGTTCCACCGTAACCATGGATAAAAAAAAAGGGTATTAATAAAGGAAAATCCCTTCCGTTCACCGAGAGCATCCAGTGGTCCACGCCCATGGTTGTCACCATATGACGTGCACGCAGTGAATGCCCCGGTATCGACTTCCCAACCAAGGTGAAGATTTCTACTCCCTTCGTCCCCCCACCCAAGTGTGTGCTTTGACCCACCCGTCAGGTAGTCCCCTCTATGGACGGCTCTTCCATTTTTTTTTTTTTTTATTATTATTTTTTTAATATAGCCAATCCCCTTTCGTGTGCTGTAGCGTGCTGTCCCCCATTTCATGTCCCCTCCCCCCCCGCCAGTTCCGTGACCTCCCGTAGCTTGAGTCTCTGGGTCAAGTTGCCCTTGTCCGGTTGGGCAGGACTCTGGGGTTTCGGGATGAATGTGGTTGGTTGCCCCCTCCCCTCCAAGCCCCCACCCAAGTGGTGAATGAGTGTATTGTCCCTTGCATTGTGAGTCATCCCTGTGGGGACGGTAGTCTCGTGGCTTACCGGGGTTCATGGTTGCCAGTCCCAGACGGGGTCAGCACTTGGCGGGGCAGGGCATCTGCAGACGGAAGCTCTGCTAGGACGGGTTAGCTGGGTAGGTGCCGGAGAGGCGCGCAGGCCGCACAGCGTGCAGCTTACTGGCGGTGTGTCGTGCGGCTACTCTTCGGGTTGGGCTGGGTCTGGCCTCCATCCGTGGTCTTGTGGGTCTCTGCTTCTGCGGCGTGGCGGTCTCTGCGGCTGTGGTCGGAGCTCCAGTGGGTGAAGGATCCAATTCTGTACCGTGATGTTAGGAATTTCCAATTTTTGTAGGAAGGCAGGTATGTCTTCTGGGCACCGGGCCGAGATTAATTCATTGTGGCGGCGCACGTTGATGCTGAAGGGATATCCCCATCTATACGGGATGTTTCTGTCTCGCAGTGCCGAGGTCACCGGTCTCAGGGCGCGCCTCGCGTCGAGGGTGAGTGGAGATAAATCATTGTAGAGGGTGACTTCTGCGCCTCTGTACGTCCAGTGGGCGCGGGAGCGGGCCTTCAACATTATTTGTTCTTTCAACGTGAAGGAGTGGATGCAGCACACTATATCTCGCGGGGTGCCATCCGCCGTGCGCGGTCTGAGGGCTCTGTGGGCCCTATCGAAGCGGAAGTGGTCCGGTGCCTCCTCACGGAGGATAATGCGGAAGAGCTGGGTGAGGGATTCAGCAATGTTTTCCCCTGCGCCATCCGCCTCCGGCACACCGCGCACCCGGATGTTATTGCGGCGGCCCCTGTTGTCCAGGTCCTCCAGGTGCCGTCGCATTGCCAAGATCAAGTCACCTTGCCTGCGTATCGCTGTGTCTGTAGCTTGCCATTGCGACTCCGCAGTTTCAGCGCGCTGTTCTATGGCGGTGATACGCGTGTCCTGGCGCGCTATATCTGATTTAATGCCGGCTACTTCAGCTTTCAGTGCAGCATGCAGAGTGTCTGAAGCTCGGGTGAGGTCCTCTTTTGTGACCATCAGGGCTGTCATGCGCCTCAGTTCTGCCCCTATATCTGCCAGAGTGACTTGCTCCCCGGAGCATGTGGACGCAGGTGAGGTCGGCGCCATGTTGGGAGTGTGGGGCTCGTGCAGCGTGCTTACCGGGGTGCCGACAAATCCGTCCATCGGACCCGTTTTTTGAGGTTGCTGCTTGGTCCTGGAGGCTTGTGGGGTGTCTTGCCGCCTGGTTCTGCCCATTGATGTGCGGTGGTCGGGCATACGGGTGCTGTTTGCTGCTGGGTGGTAAGGAGCCGCGGGGTTAGGCTGCCGCCATGTTCGGAGTCCAGGACACGCCCCCTTTTGTCATAGTTTTAATATTTCAACATTTCATAAAAAAAAGTTTATCCAAAAAATATTACATTGAGGTCATAATGTAAAGCAATCTTTACCAGCACCACTCCAGGCCCACAATCATAATAATCAATATACATTCTTAATTAACATGCTCAATATGAATCACATTTCCATTATAACTAAACATCATGCGATTTACCAAGAAACAGAGAAATTCTGGTAGGTAAGAGATGGTAGGTTATGGTTGGTTACCGGCATGCTTGGGTAAATTTAATATCTTCAGAAAAGAGAAGACTCCACATATGATCCGTTCATTAAATAACTAGCTCAAAACCAAAAAAGAACACGTAATCCCTAGATTTTCTTTGTCCAATTTTAACCCCCTGATTACACAGTGTGTAGTACTTGTGATGATGATGAGTAGATTATATTAAACAGGTGTAGACCATAGAGTGTGGTTGAAAAACAAGTGCTATAAATGGGGTAAATCCATACATAACTTCAATCTCCGCCTCTAGAGCAAGGACAGGCAACCTTCGGCACGCCAGCTTTTGTGGACTACATCTCCCATAATACTCTTACAGCAATAATGCTGAAAAAGAATCAGGGGAAATATAGTCCACAACATCTGGAGTGCCAAAGGTTGCCTACCCCTACTCTAGATGAACACTCTGAGCTTAGAAGATGAAGGTTTAATCACAGGATCATATTCTGCTACAAACAGCACGACACAAATGCAGACATGTTACTGAACGAGATGATCGAATCCGTCCAATTTTAGTACAATGGTTCCAAAACATTCACACCTATCTGAGAAAAACACTTTGAAAATTCTGGCAAAAGTGCTACACAATGAACAGCTGCCATGGAAACCAATAGAATTTTTAATTGAATTTAGGACTGCCCAACATCCAATAAACCTTAAATTTAAATAAAGGTAAAGACCAGTTGGTCTATCTCACCCCTGTCCGAAAACAGCACTTTCTCGATGTCAGTCCATGGTGAAGGCAGCAGCAGATCTCCTTGAAATCTTTCCCTATATCAGTCTCTACCACTTCTACGGGAAAACAGGTCCATGTGACCAAAAATCTGCTTCTAAAAACAGATTTTATGATATTGCCTTGTTCTATTTACCCTCTGTATACAGAATATATTGCTCCTCTTAAATACCTGCTCCCAGGGGCGGACTGACAGCCTTCTGGGCCCCTGGGCAAAATCCCGATAGGGCCCATTATGTTTCAAATAAGTGTGCATTTTTTTATTTGTATATGGTGTGAGGGTATGTGTATGAGGCATGTTTGTATCTTAGTGTTGTAATCATCGTAAACACTGTTTCACTTTGTCCGCATCAATGCATGTGCTGTTTTGAATGTACATACTTCCAGTATGGTGTAAATGCACAAGCAGTTAACTACACACAAACTTACAGAGCTCACTATAGACAGCTCATTGACGTGAACACACGCTCACTACACACAGTGCGCTACAGAATGCTCACTGACACACACACACACACACACACACACACAAGATCCCAAGCTCACCACAGACAGCTCACTGATATGTACACAATGTCACTACACAAAAGCTCACTGACATATTCTCAAGCTCAGCCACAGACACACAAGCTCACTACAGAAAAATCACTGCACAAAGCTTTTGGATACATACAAGCTCAATAAAAACAGCTCACTACACACAAGCTCACTAATATACCCAATCATGCAAGATCACACAGTTCACTACAGACAGCTCACTGACACACACACACACACAGTTCACAACATGCACACAGAAGGTCACTACACACAGCACACTAGCCCACACAAGATCACTGTCTCTTACCCCTTGCTGTGGTTGAAGAGCTGCAAGTTGCTCCTAGTCTCCCAGGTTGTTCCTGTCAGCATGCCCACATAGTTGAAGCTGGGGGCGGAGGTGCTGCTGACTTTGGACCCTGCAGCTTGTTTAAGGGGTGCAGATCTAAGGGAGAACCTGCCAGGGGGCTGTGTTTTATGTTCCTAGAGAAGGGATGGGAGGTGTCTGGAGAGGAGGAAGTTTGGACAGCAGCTTCCCAGGACATTCTGAGGGCACTTGCCTTGATGCCCCCCTTGATGAGTGTTTGGTAAGTCTACTTATTTTGCAGTCACCCTTTGTATCTCACCATGTCCCCAATTCCTTCAAATTCTCCTCCTCCTCCCCAAGCCCTCCTCTGGTGCCTACCCTGCTATCATGCCCCATCATACCTTGCATTTCAGTCTGCTCAGGCTGACTCCCTGTCCTCCCCTGAGCAGCATGGCTGTTACCATCACAGCTGCTCCTCCCCCTTCACACATGCGGTGGGCGCTCTGTATTTGTGTAAGAGAGAGGAGGGGATGTGATGTTCCCTCCTCTATTCTAACACAGAGCGCTCCCGCTGGGGAACTGGTTTCACTAACTTTGCTGCCTTGATGCTGGGCTGGTTGGGGAGATCATCTAATCTTCCCAGCCCAGCCATAGCTGCCCCGGGCCCCTGACTGCCACGGGCCCTCGGTCCATGACCGATCTGCCCTAGTGGTCAGTCCGCCCCTGCCTGCTCCTCGCTATGGGCTGGGCAGTTACAGCGACTAGCTAAGGATACATCAGCATGGGGGAAACATGGCCTCCAATACTCTACTAAATCTACATCAAAGAGTGCACAAAACCAATACAAATATATTCTATTTCATAGTGTTGTACATCCATTTTAATATTCTGCTTCTGGACACCATATGGTTCTGAAGGTTGTTGATATTGTTTGAAGCAAAACCTTCTACATGACGTTTCACTTTTAGTCCCAACAGACCAGCCTTGAGGTCAAGTTATGGCAGTTGAAAATTTGGCCCAAGAATGAGACTGTTCCCCAAAGCCCCAGTGTTTTCATTGGCCTCATTGGGATGATGGAGAAACATCAGCAGCAGCAGGAGTCGGACTGCCATGTTCTCGTCACTTGTTGGTAATGGCGTGATTTTTATTTATTTTTTTGCTCCATCCATGGAACGATGTGGAATAAGGGATTAATAATTCATGCTTCTACGTAAAGTACATTGTTTTCACAAACCACATTTGTTCTAGAAGCCTGCATGCTGTAGAATAATGTTCTCTTTTCTGGTATCCTCATTCTGGATCCGGCAGAATATTTTAGTATTATTGCTGAATATTCTCAAATCATGGGATACATTCAAATACGCTGTGCATTGATGTACTGTTCATTTTATATCTATGTCTATTTTAGAATCTGTATGCCTGAGTCTTACCCTGTTTCTTGGATGTTGGTGTGTGTTCTATAATTACGTTGTGCATTCTAACATCATACAATGTTATCTAAGATATTGCTAATTGGTTATGTAATGTGCTTCAGAATCTTGCTGAGTAAAACACACTGTAGGATTCCAGAATACTCTGCAGGATTCTGAAGCACATGACATAATTCTAGAATACACAGCAAGATGCTAGAGTGCACTAGCCTACAATCATTCAGTGTATTCTGGAGTTCTGAACACAATAATATTCTAAATACACTGTTAAATATGTGATCAAATCACAGAGTTCTAGAATACACAACAAAATCCTAGAATGAAGATCCAATGGTATATTAGAGGACTCCCGAATATTGTCGTATTTTATGGAATTATACTTTATATTATAATACCGGAGTAATGTGTCTGTACCTTTTGGAAAATAAGTAGACAGACTTATATTTTGTCAAAAATTAGTTTTCTGTCCAATGACAGTGATGGCGCAAGCCGCTCGGGTCTTTTCTGTGCTGGAGCCATTGTCTGTGACCAGATCCGCAGTGAAGGCTGTTTAGATGTCTCACAGGCTGTGCGATCACTCAAGAAAAGACGAATCCAACTCATTCCCAACAAAGTAAGTATGATCATTGATTCAGTGATGTTTGTCAAATGCTCTTTGAGGTATCAACTTGAGGAGTCAATCACAACATCTGAAAAAAACATTGATAACTTACCATCACTGCTAACTGAGGTCAGTCTCTGAATGGGTAAGGCAGTGGCTGAGTGACAGGCAACAGAGGGTTGTAGTTAATGGAATATATTTGAAGCTTGGACTTGTCACCGGTGGGGTACCTCAGGGATCTGTACTTGGACCCATTCTCTTTAATATTTTTATTAGTGATATTGTAGAAGGTCTTGATGGTAAGGTATGTCTTTTTGCTGATGATACTAAGATATGTAACAGGGTTGATGTTCCAGGAGGGATAAGCCAAATGACAAATGATTTAGGTAAACTAGAAAAATGGTCAGAATTGTGGCAACTGACATTTAATGTGGATAAGTGCAAGATAATGCATCTTGGACGTAAAAACCCAAGGGCAGAGTACAGAATATTTGATAGAGTCCTAACCTCAACATATGAGGAAAGGGATTTAGGGGTGATTATTTCTGATGACTTAAAGGTAGGCAGACAATGTAATAGAGCAGCAGGAAATGCTAGCAGAATGCTTGGTTGTATAGGAAGAGGTATTAGCAGTAGAAAGAGGGAAGTGCTCATGCCATTGTACAGAACACTGGTGAGACCTCACTTGGAGTATTGTACACAGTACTGGAGACCGTATCTTCAGAAGGATATTGATACCTTAGAGAGGGTTCAGAGAAGGGCTACTAAACTGGTTCATGGATTGCGGGATAAAACTTACCAGGAAAGGTTAAAGGATCTTAACATGTATAGCTTGGAGGAAAGACGAGACAGGGGGGATATGATAGAAACATTTAAATATATAAAGGGAATCAACACAGTAAAGGAGGAGACTATATTTAAAAGAAGAAAAACTACCACAACAAGAGGACATAGTCTTAAATTAGAGGGACAAAGGTTTAAAAATAATATCAGGAAGTATTACTTTACTGAGAGGGTAGTGGATGCATGGAATAGCCTTCCAGCTGAAGTGGTAGAGGTTAACACAGTAAAGGAGTTTAAGCATGCGTGGGATAGGCATAAGGCTATCCTAACTATAAGATAAGACTAGGGACTAATGAAAGTATTTAGACAATTGGGCAGACTAGATGGGCCGAATGGTTCTTATCTGCCGTCACATTCTATGTTTCTATGTATTGAATCACTCTGGGCCTATAGTGGCTTGCTGTGATGTTGTCAAACAGGACCAGAGAGCAGACCACAAACATTTAAGTGGACATCAACAAACACCAACATTTTACATAGAAACATGGAAAGGGTCGTATAGGAACATCTGATTTACATACGTGATAAGAAAATAGCCATACAAATACAGAAAGTTCACAAAATCAACTCCTGATTCTATGACACCATTTCAACAAATAAATGGCTGATCTATACATCAACTTAGAATTAACGGAGTATCATCGGGCTGTACTCCAGCTACAGCAATTGTTAAACCAAATGATTAAACCAGGGAGAGTAAAAAAAACAGGGTGCGGGAGAGCTGAGAACAGACAACAGCTCAAATAGCATGCCCTTCAGTGGGTCCCCGCTCAGATCTCAAGCTAGTTTTAGCTCATATTGTGCCATTACAAAAAGAACCAGGGACATTTGCACATCAGACTGATCCCACCCAAAAGACCTGTACAGAACCGAAATGCAGACTGGCTTTCTCTGCACGAGAGATAAAGCAACCCTAGACGATCATTTCAACCTTGTTAGGCATCGTCAGTGAAAATTGTATTGCTAAAACCGTGGGAGCAACAATAAAATACCAGTTCTCTGTAAATGTCATGATTTCCATAATGGACAGGTGCTGGCCTGATACACGAGAAAATTATCTAATAAAACGCATGTTATTGGTGCCTGTCGGCCATGTAAGGAGTAGCGCTTTCTCTAATGCTGTGATGTGCTTACAGGACCAGTACACATTCTGCTACACACTCGCTCAGAGCTATCTGGATTCATTCGAGACCTACGGGAACTTCAAGCACTGAACGTACATCGGGGAGAAACATGGCTGCCTTGTCCTTCATCAATGTGTTAACACTCCCTCCCATTATAATTAATCTTGTAAATAGATTGAAATCCACTTATAAATATTCTGCAACACGTTTCCTCCAAAGCAATGTGTAAAAATACTATACATATCATTCTTTATATAAATACTTGGAAATGAGAGAAATCTCAATTTATCAAATGTATCCTTCTTGGTAAAATATTTTATAAATAATACTAGGTAATATGTATTATTTAACCCCTTAAGGACACATGACATGTGTGACAAGTCACGATTCCCTTTTATTCCAGAAGTTTGGTCCTTAAGGGGTTAAAGTATGATATTAAATGTTTATATGTGATTTAAAAATTATTTTGTAAACCTTTGTAATAGTTTGTATTATATTATTAAATTACTGCAGTGACAATCAGCATTTACTAATATCATGAGGTTGATAAAGCAATTTTTTTTAAATAATTGTGTCCAGTTCCTCTTGTTTGAATTACTATTCTTCAGATTTTTGGACAAAATCATTAACATTAAAATCATTAGTAATTAAATAGGATGTTTTCAGGTTTTAAGGTTTATGATGTAAATGTCTATAAAATTGAATAATAATTATTAACATTCTGTGCCAAACTATGATCATATAATCTTAAAACAGACAACACAATAATGATTATAAAATATATAGTACAGTATAGAAACCATTCGCTTAAAGCAAAGTCTCATAACCATGCATATACTATGCTAGGGATGGTTGTGCCGTTCTGTCAGTGGGCTCTAGGGGGGTTATAAGGAAGGGACACAGCAGGGATTTCCATAATGTGTACAATTGTCAGCTTTTTGCTGTAAGAAGTCATGACAACATGTGGACCTACAGTAAAGTAAACAAGTATTTGATCCCCTGCTGATTTTGAACGTTTGCCCACTGACAAAGAAATGATCAGTCTATAATTTTAATGGTAGGTGTATTTTAACAGTGAGAGACAGAATAACGAAAAAAAAATCCAGAAAAACGCATGTCAAAAAAGTTATAAATTGATTTGCATGTCAATGAGTGCAATAAGTATTTGCCCCTTCGACTTAGTACTTGGTGGCAAAACCCTTGTTGGCAATCACAGAGGTCAGACATTTCTTGTAGTTGGCCACCAGGTTTGCACACATCTCAGGAGGGATTTTGTCCCACTCCTCTTTGCAGATCCTCTCCAAGTCATTAAGATTTCAAGGCTGACGTTTGGATGGAGCTGAAGGTTCGAATTGACACAGATTTTCTATGGGATTAAGGTCTGGAGACTGGCTAGGCCTCTCCAGGACCTTAATGTGCTTCTTTTTGAGCCACTCCTTTGTTGCATTGGCTGTGTGTTTTGGGTCATTGTTATGCTGGAATACCCATCCATGACCCATTTTCAACGCATTGGCTGAGGGAAGGAGGTTCTCACCCAGGATTTGACGGTACATGGCCCAGTACATCGTCCCTTTGATACGGTGCAGTTGTCCTGTCCCCTTAGCAGAAAAACACCCCCAAAACATGTTTCCACCTCCATGTTTGATGGTGGGGATGGTGTTCTTGGGGTTATAGGCAGCATTCTTCCTCCTCCAAATACAGAGAGTTGAGTTGATGCCAAAGTTTTTGATTTTGACCAGAACACTTTCACCCAGTTCTCCTCTGAATCATTCAGATGTTCATTAGATGTTCATTAGCAAACTTTAGATGGGTCTGTACCTGTGCTTTCTTGAGCAGGATTTCAGTCCCTTCGCCCCATATTCTTGGAGTGGACTAATGGCTAGCCTTTTGCCCTATGACTATGGCCCTGATGTGTATTGTCCTTTAAGAACCCTATTGGCATGGGCATCCGCAGGGGGGGGCAAGAGGGGGCACTTGCCCCCCCTTGATTTTTCAGCTTGTGCTGCTATTTTTGGTTTGTGTGAGAATACACTGCACTACCAGTGCCAGCCAGTAGGTGGCGATATGAATGTTAAAAGGCAGGAAGCTACAGCTTATCCCTGCCTCTCACTCATGACTGAAACCGCAGGGGAGCAGCACAGAGGCAGCCTACAGAGCAAATAAGTGAGGGATGGGGGGGCACTATTACCCCCCTCACTATCACCCCCCTCACCACCCTCAGCATTACCCCCTCAATATCACCCCCCCTCACTATTACCCCCCTCACCACCCTCAGCATTACCCCCCCTCACTAT